ATCCACCCTAGCTCCATCTTTCACCTTGAGCTTCCATGGGGTTCTAGAGAGAACCTTTTTGAAAGAGGGAGGGTTTCTTTTTTTCTTCCAAATTAGAGTGATTTAAATGGAAGAATTTTGGTCAAAAAGGGTTTTATAATTGCTAGGAAAGGCAAAGATTAATAGGGACTCAGCTTAGGAAAAGAATTAAGGACCCATAAAGTTAAACTTAAAAGTGTTCACTAAACCCGTCTAAACTCGTCCTTTTGGACAGTGCTTCACTATTTCGGGCATAACTTTTTACTCCAAAGTCAGAATTGGGCAAACTCGGTTGCGTTGGAAAGAGGACTCAAAGACCTTTAATTGGATAGGTAAAGGTCCACCTAATTCATTTTGAGCTAAAAGATATGACCATTTAAAGTTGACCCTTACAACTCACTAGTTTCAAATGACTAGTTTCCGGATGTCACGGTCATTTCTCATCATTTCATCAAGTTCTCAACTCCAAACTCACATGTGAGGCTCTAGTTTCACTAGTTCGTTTTTAGGGTCGTTACAATAGTGATGATACAACGCTTTACCTCACGCTGCCGAGGCCCATCCTATACCTTGCCGTGATATAGTAAGCTAACTCACTAAGTGGATCTACTAGTCTATGCGAAAAGGATTCATCTAAAAAGTATGACCCTTTTCTACCTATGATGGCTACATGGTTTATGGAGACTTGAGTTAATATGAACTCGCATCCCCATATCGGTGCTCAATACTACTCCCAAAAATATACTTAGTTCTTTATGTTTAAAAACATACTTCTTCTGTGATTTGAGATTAGTGCTCAAAAACTTAGCTCAAAGGCTATCTTGGAAATCTCAATTTCCCTTCTCGCTTCATTTAGAAAACTATTTCTCTTTTCTGAAAACTAGCCCGAAGGCTCTTTGAAAAATCATAGTTCCTTTCTTGCTCAAATGTGAAAACATTTATAAACTCCTTTGGGAATACTTAGTTCCCCAATAACTTTTGAGAAATGAACTCAACTCTTTACTCTTTGCTTAACTTGAAACTTGAGCCTTGAAACGAAGTTAAAATATTTGTTAAAGACTCTTGAAAACTTAAAGAAACTTTGCTTTGACTTGCTTCTTAACTTCTAGACTTTGACTCTTAACTTCTTTGACTTTGATCTTAACTTTCCTTGAATTGGATTTTGGATTCAAGGTTCATGAATCTCATGTTTATGGATGATTTCATGATGTTTAGATGTACCTTAGAGTATTGGAAACAACTAGAAAACATAGGTACATCGCTTAGGAACAAGTACGAAAAGGTGGGGAACGAATGGGGAGAACTGGCGTCCCTGGCGCTCTGAGAGGCGCGGGGAGCCAGCCCTCAAACTTCAGAGGACCAGCTGGGGCACGTCGCCCCAAGGGGTGAACTTCAGAGCCCCTTTTGGGGCGAGCTGACTGGCGCGACGCCCCACCCCCTTCCCCAGGTTTTTGACAATTTTTCTTCTCCATTTTTCAACTCTAAACCCTCTAAACCTCAATGGTTCTTTCCCCAAACACTTAGAATCACTTATACCTCCATTATACATAATATTCTACTCGAAAAATTCAACTAAAACATGAATCAATCTCAAGAAAACTCCAACAACTCAACCCACAAGAATTCAAACGAATATAATCAAGAACTCAAGGAATTTACTTTCAAATCAAACATATTTCGCTGAATTGAATCATGATTGGCGCGTGGGCGAAGTAACCCAATGCTATGTGATCTCACATACCTTGTAGGGATCACCCCGATGAATTCCACAAGTTAAACTTCGACGATCTTGGCGATTCTTCTTCTTTCTCCTCTTATTTTCTCTTCTATCAAAACCCTAACCCTTCTTCCAAAAGCATAAACTGATCTAATTCAGGTTAGGCCCCTAATTAATTACAAAAAAATGAATTGAAATAAAAAGGTAAGGAAAAGACCAAACTACCCTTTAAAAATCCGGATTGGACTTTCCTTATTCTAACAACCCAACTTCCAAAGGGCATAACTCACTCATACAAACTTGGATTTCCGCAAACTCGGCGGCGTTGGAAAGATCCTTCCAAGAGATTTGCAACCATATCTGGAAGTACACCTAACTCATCCTGAGCTAGGAATTATGACCGTTTGAAGTTGACCAAAACTCAACTTTTCCTTACTTGACAAATTTCCAGATTTTTAATTATTTCCAAAAATGACTATTTCCAATTATAAGCTTCTTCCTAGTTATTTCAAATTGCAAGATGTTACAAAGTTCTTGTCCTAGTCACGTACAATGATATTATAGGCTTATTGTCAGACATAGTATATTTTCCAATTATGAGTTGTACAATGTTGGTATTAAAGTGTTGATATGAGACTTATATTCTTGTTTTACTTTATTCTTAGTATATGCTTATGTCAAGTGGCTTGTTTAGAATTTCTTTGGACTCTATTCACCATGTCACGTCTAGAAGTAGCTTGGGTCGTGCCATTTGCTTTACTTGACTGCAAGTTGACCAGACATTACGTACAACATATACAAATGTGCAAGATCCAATCCACACCAAAGAAATCGCATCTCACTGCAGTCAAATGAATCATTTGTTATCTCATTAACTCATTTGAATTGATACTTTAGTACCCTCACTCATCAAATTTTGATTTAATTAATTACTCATATGCTGATATTGTAGGTGACAAAAATGATCAAATTCTAGGACAATTATTGATTTTCTAGCACAATAAAAAACAAACTTTTGTAGCTTTATCTACTACAAAATTTGAATATCTAGTTGTAAGTTATGGTATTCAACTGTTATGGATGATGCAAACTACGATTTATCTTATGAAGTTGTTTCTATTTTTTGTGATAATACTAGTGCCATTAGTTTATCTAAATATATTATACATCATTCTAGAGCAAAGCATATAGATATCAAGCATATATTTTATTAGAGATCAAGTTAAAAATGAATATTTTGTACTTGAATCAGTAGATTCTAAAAATTAATTAGTTGATATTTTTACTAAGTTTTTATTAGAAGAAAGATTTTGTTTCCTTAGAAGCATTCTTAATCTTATCACGTTTAAATCAAATTGATTTTGCGTATTTATTCTTTTTCCTTTTAATTATATTGTCTTTTTTCTTTAAATTCTTGTAATACTTGTATTTGACCCTTTAATTAAGACTCTCTTCTATTGTTTACTTTTTTGCATGACTTTTTATCTCCTATTTTTTCAATCATTCACTCTACCTTTTCTCCTTCTTTTTTCATTAATAAAACTCTTTCATAAATCCTTCATCCTTCTTCTTATTTATTTCCTCTTCTCTTTCTCCTTATTCTTCCATCTTTCGTCAATGACTAGAAAAAAATTTATGGGGTCTCTAAAAAATGTTGGTGATTGTTCCTCTGAAATTCTCGATCGGAACATTCTTTCTCTCTCCTTTGATTCTTTAAAGGACATATCCGACATTGCCTCATCTTCCTTAAGTAAGAGACCCCTCTCTATGAAGAAGTCGCGCTCTGATGTATCCAAATCTCTCTCTCCAAAAGACATGCAGAGGTTCTGGAGTGTCGAGCAAAAGAAGAGGTATGGAACCTATAAAAATCGGTCTGTTGTTCCTGGTCGAGTTACCAATCTAGGTCAGCTGAAAGACTCTCACATTTCTGTAAGTAATGTTCTCAAGACTCAAAAGTTGTTTCTATTCTTTAGCCTATGTGGAGTTAGATTTTATGAGAAACTTGTTTGTTTGTTTTATGTTAATCTCTGTATCTCTAAAGATAATGGTGTGAAAGTTGTATTATTACGAATTAATGTCTATTTGAGGATGTGTTTGATATTAAAATTTTTGATGTTGTCCCTTAATGAATGGTATCTAACATGAGGATTTTGAAGTATTCCTAGAAGCCATCAAAAAAACTGTTGCAAAATAAAGATTCGATCTTTAGATTTTGGCCCTCTATTTTTTTCTTTGAGAATCGTCTTTTGGCTCACATTATTGCCACCACTTTGGTTTCCTGAAAGGGTTCTCTAAGCAACATTTTGATTCGAAATATATTTATTCTCTACTTCCTTTTTAAGAAGTATAAGATAACTTGAACTATCTAATTTAAGGAATACATGACGAAAAGTATCGAGGATTTGAATGTGTCTATATCATTGCCCTATGATCTCTTCATCTTTTAGATTCTAGTGAACTCATTGGTCGATCTTTCTAGTTCAAACCTGTTGAAGTCTCTACAATGTATAAAATTCACATTTTCTAAATGTCTTAGTCGGTAAAAAATAGCACAAGAAGGTTTGAGTGATAGCAAAGATCGAATCCATCAAGGTGACCTAGATTTCTACTCACTTAGCTGCTCAGTTACTCAAGGACACAAAGGATATCAAGGTCTGATTGCTTGCTGCGGAAAATGAATGGAGGTGCTATAAGAAACTGTAGATAAGATTCTTCACATGCATAAGGCCAACATAGACATGGGAAAACTTTGGATTGCCATGATGAGTTAAAACTAGAAGGGGTCTCTACTGTGAACAAGCTGATTAAACAAGTAGACTCCCCCAAGACAATTTCTATATAAACTTTCTATTCCGACTTCTCAATTAACGTGAAACGTTCCTATAAGCACGCCGCCCACCTGTTGACCGGGCGAATCGAAGTTATTTTCCGGTCAACTGTCCACCCAATCAAGTGCAAAAAACACAGTAGAATCACGCAAGACACGCTGCTAGTGTGCTTCCTGCTCGCGAGGAAAGAAAGAAGAACTTCGCCATATTCTCAAGAATTAATATCATATATATATATAACATAAGTTTTGAAATTATATATTATATACATTTGAACATAGTTGAAAGAATGAGAAAATTCTCAAAAGTTGTCTCTCTCTCTATTTCTATTGCACTAATATTGTAATATTGAGACTTCTTAAATAGTTTGATTTTAGGACAAAAGCAGCAAAATAGTTAACTCCAATTCCCCGAGCAACCGGGAAAGCCTCTGAAACCCTTTCACCTTGCAAACAATTCTCTGCGATCTCCTGCAACTACCCTTGCCCCTTCACATTCTTCTTTCTTCCTTCCCCTCGGTGAATTCATAACTTTAACCCAAATTCAACACCATTTTTTCTTGTTTTTATTGAATTCGTTGTTTGTAATTTGGAATTTCTCTCGGTTTTCCTTTTTCTGTCTTTTTCAATTCAAATATGTGACATCTATCTATGCATGCATAGATGATTCACTGCGGTTGCCAATTTCCAGAAAAGCTCGGCAAATATCTACTTCAATGGGGGCCTTAACATGTAGCAGCCGAAAACGTGGTGATGATTTTTTCACCTCGAATTACAAAACCCCACTTTCAGTTTCCTCTAACGTTGACCACATATCCAAAAAACCTAGGCTTTCTCCATCTATGAATCAAATCCAAGGTGACCCTTTGTCCAGAAAATCAATAGCTGCAAGAATTTTCAAATACCCATCTAATATAACTCCCATAAAAAGAGAAATTCATGCTCCTTGTAGACGATTAAGAAGTGGGTCCAACTTAAACTCTAACAAAATGGGGAATTTTCTAACTCAACAGTATGATAGAGCTAAAAGAAGTGCATTTGAAACGCTGAGGTATGTGAAAAAAGATAAAGAAGTGATAAACATTGATGATGATGAAATTTGTGAAGAGGGTGTGTCTGAGGATTCAAGTGTTAAGGAATTGGGAACTGGGGTTGATGCAAAAAGGGGTCTTGCTAGTGGGTCGGGTCAGAGATGGAAGGAGAGTAATGGGGTTGTTGAAATCATGGATAATCCTGATGGTGTTAAGGATGTGGATAGGAACTTTCAGGTTTTGAGTCCTTCAGTTGTAACAGTGTCGGATGGTGTGAATTTGAAGGTGGAGAATGCAGAAAAGATGCTGGATACATTATCTTTGAGTAGCAATTTTGATTCTGCTTATTCTTCATCTTCAGTTCCTCCATATAAGAAATTGCTGGGTTTAGCTGAGAAAAGAAACGGTAATTTAAAGAGACTGCAGTTTGATATAGGGTATACTGAGAAGGTTCTTGAGACACAACATTTGTTAAGGCCTCAGAAGAATGAAGAGTATGTTAAGGAGGTAATAATATTGCTGGAGCCTTTATTATAATGTCTTTTGCATGCATTTATAGGCCTCGTTTAATTTGCAATTATATGAAAAAAAAAATCAAGCCGGGTATAAAAGCATTAGCTTATGTGTTATTTGTGGTTTATTAACTTGCAGGATGTGATTACAGAACCCTTTGTGCTTCTTGATGAGGAGGAAGAGGCTGAAGTTTCTCGTGCTTTATCTAAATCTTGCAGGTATAATTTATTTAAACTTCCATTTGTTTTCAGACTTATCCAATTATCAATTTTGCACTTTCTTTGTATGTTTTTAACGGACTTATTTCGCAGGAGGAAGGTTTTGGCGAAACATGAAAACTCCAATATAGATATTACTGGAGAGATATTGCAGTGTTTGAGTCCTGGGGCATGGTTGAACGATGAGGTAATACTTTATGTCAGTTACTGAGCTTGTAGTGGTTATAGAAAATGCTGGAATGGTGTAAGGGAATGAGGAAGTTTTCTTCTTTTGCAGGTCATTAATGTGTATCTTGAGTTACTAAAAGAGAGAGAAAGAAGGGAGCCCAAAAAGTTCTTGAAATGTCATTTCTTTAACACATTCTTTTACAAGGTCAGTTCTATGCCTTCGAAATCAAATTTGCATTTCAAAGTTATTCAGTTACTTGCTAGGTTGCGGTATAGCTGTGTGTTCAAGGATAAAGTATATCAGCCATTCTAGGTTTATATCACTCATCTTCTGCATGAATTTTCATGAATGAGGAGTGAATTTATTTCCTTCATCTTTTTATTTTTCCTGCTCATTTCACATTTCTTTGAATTGGAGTTTGTTTGTCCAAATTGTTATAAGCATCAGACTAGCTAGCTCGACCATCACAGTTATAAAAATAAATAAATAAATTGAGTATGGATTTACACAGCACACACACTCATAAAGTTACTCACCATGCTTCCCCAGTCTGCCCGTTACTTTATACTCAAAAAAGAAAAAAAGCTCTTTTATCGCAGATACCCGATAGATTGGCATGCTTGCTCATTAATCTTTTCCTGCCTTTATGACGAAATGTTTTTCTTTTATTTGATGAAGTAAAAAGCTTCTTAGTAGCCATCAAGGAGATGCTAAAGATTACTACGTTTGAGATTATAAAAAATATTGAGTTGGGACTCCTAAATATAGGTGGCTATTCAAAGGCCAGAGAGCTAACAAAATGCAAAAATTGTCAGGGGATATATTGTTCCAGCTGCATAAATTTAAAAGACTTCTAGCTTTAGTAGACTGGTCTGGAGTTGATAAACCATCAAAGCATCTTCTGCTCCTTTCTGCCTTAAATTCTAGCAAATGCAAGGGGGAATCATCCTCCATATGCTTCTGATGCATTCCAACTTTCCAGCTACTCCAACATTCAAAAGCCTCTTTGGTGGACTGTGGCATGACCCAACTGAGTCCAAAAATGGAGAGAAGCATACTCCACATATTAGTTGAAACTGTCCCTGCAGGAAAAGCTGATTTTTGGTTTCTATGGTCTTATAACACATAAAATATCTATTCAGAATCTGGATGCTTCTTTTGCTGAGGATGTCCTGAGTTAGTTAGGCTTCATGCAGGGCAGTCCAGCTGAAACATATGATATTTAGTGGCAGTTTTGTCTTTCATATTAATTTCCAAGGTCAGCAGGTCACCATTTCATTTTGTGCTAAAAAAGAAGCATATCCATCTTTGACAGAATTGTTCCCATTCCTGGTATTACCCCATTTTAGCCTGTCTTCTGACTGGGAATGTATAGTTTAGCCCTCCGGTTTAGAGAAAAGGTTGAGGAGTTCTTCATATTCCAGTCATGTATTCTCTTGAAAGTTCGTTCCAGGTGTTTCCTTCTCTTTTTTTGGGATGAAAGAGTATGTATCTAGAGATCTGAAACAGCTTAGGAATTCATCCTGTAGCTTACATCTGCTTAGCCATTTGTCTGTCCAGAATTTGATGTGCATTCCATTGCCTAGAGCAAAGTGGGAGTTTTGTGAGAATTTCCCCCACATTTTGCATATGCACTTCCAGGGGCCAACCCCATATGGAGCTTTAGATAATTTAGTACACCAGTGATTCTGGACACCATGTTTAGCATTTAAGACTTCCTTCCAAAGGACTTACTCTTCTTGTGTGTACCTCCATAGCAGGAGAGCTTTGTTGTGCATTTCCAGATTTTTATACCCAGCCTTCCTTGAGTTGTAGTCACTGTGACTTTGGACCACTTCACTACGTGAAATTTATTCCCTTGCTGTTACCTTGTCATAGGAAAGATCTTATGATTTTGTCAATATGTTTCAGGACCTTGCTTGACATAGAAAATAGGGACATGTTATATGTATGGATGTTGTCCAGGGCATTTTTGACTAGTGTAAGTCTTCCCCTCATTGAAACAAATTGTATTTGCCAAGTTTCAAGCCTCTTCTCACAATTCTCAATCATCCCTTCAGATGTCAGTAGCTTTGTATTTAGCACCTAATGGAAGCCCTAGGTAAGTGGTAGGTAGTGAACCAGTATTGCAGCATAAGATTCCTGTCAACTCCTCCAGAATTGGCATCTCATTTACAGTATGACACTCTTTAGCATGTTGATATGTAAGCCTTGCAAGGCTTCAAATACAAGCAGTGTAAGATTGAGATATAACATTTGGGACTTAATCTCCCTTTTAAACTTTATTCCCCTGATGACCTTTGGAACATATTTAGCACCTTCTTGGTGCTGTTGTTGATACTTAGAGATGATGAAGAAGCTGCTTGGAATGTACTAAGTTTTTTATAACTGAAAATTTTATGAGGGCTAATGGTGCGAAGTTCAGAACTCGGTGGATGATGCCCCTCCCCACGTGGACCCCTCTCCACTTAGATACCAGACTTCTGTTTGAACTTGTGACGTGCAATTGGAATGTACTAACAAGTGCCTGCTCTAAAATAAAATCTCATTTGTGTATCAATAACCATGTTTCCCTTTTACCTTGGCCTCAAAGAGAAGAAACCTTTGCAGGGTTTGTCCTCTTTATGATAGATTCCTTATCTGATCTGCAAGGATCATGATTACCAATTATTTCATCACCAACTATTTCTGTTCACAATGTGTTCATCAATATCTGATAGTTGCTATGCTGATCTCTGTAGAGAACCTTGTTTCTAATGCTGATTTGAAATTCAGAGTAATGCATGATCTGATTTGAGTTTCTGAGTAAAGCATGATCTGATGGTTGACACACTGGTTTTCTCAGTCAAGTTGGTCTTAGAATTTTCTTGGTAATAGTCCCTATAAGATGCCTATAATGCGCCCCTGAATTTATCCTTTTTATACAACATCATTGCATCTTACTTATCATCCCCTAAGTGAAATCTGTGTGTATAATTCTTATATAAAGTTTCTTACAAACAGAAGGTTATACCTGCTAATTGTTCTTGTGGACATTTTCTGCAATTTCAGTTAATCAGTGGCAAGGGAGGCTATAACTATCAATCTGTGAAAAGATGGACATCCCAAAGGAAGCTGGGGTACTGCCTCTTTGAATGTGATAAAGTAAGAGTTTTCATCATTCATCTCTCTTTTTTTACTTTATTTTGTTGTCTATTGTATATTGATTGATATGTCCTAATTTACTTAGATTTTTGTCCCTATCCACAAACAAGTACATTGGTGCTTAGCTGTCATCAACAAGAAGGAAGAAAAGTTCCAATATCTTGATTCACTTGGAGGAAGAGATCAGCAAGTACTGAAAGTGCTGGTATGTTTTGCATCTGCTTACCAGGAATTAGTTTTTCAAGAGAATGCATATGTGACATTTTGTTTTCAGTTCTTATCCCATTTACTTCCTTTCTGACTGTACCGTGTCAATAATTCATAATAGGTTCTATGCAGTCTGCTACGTAGTATCATTACTTAAATTGAAGCTTGAGTAGGCAGAAAAAACATTACCACCTGCATTAAGCCTTTTAATATGTTAGTAGTGATGATGATGGAATTTGCTGGTTAATAGTGGATGGAAATAGATGAGATGTTTTAATCTTGTTTATGTTGCCTCCTAAGCATATGGGGTTGCTCTGCGTTGAATTGTTGTTCATCTCCATTGGTGTCACATGATCCAATTGGTTAGGATTTTTACAAGACTGGTTTAGTATAGATAGGGTATCCTCTTCCTTTGTCACTATTTACTTTAATTTGTTCTTTTTGTTCTACTGTTCCAATTTGTTGTATTTTCCTTCCTGTCTTAATTCTTCCCAGCTTGGATGTAGTATACTGTCAGTTGTACTTGGATGTGAGCTTATACCTAATTCCTGTTGGATTTTGGTAGTGTCTAAAGAGTTTCTTGAAAAGAAAATGAGAGATAGTGCAAAAAGGTTGAGGGGTGGGCCCCGTTCTTCCGGGTTTCAAACTGTGCAGTGTGCAGCATCAATGCATCATCTCTCGGGGATTTCTTGGTTTCAGCTGTATTATACATATATATATATATATATATATATATATATATATATATATATATATAGGCTATTGTTCACTCCAGAATACACATTTAGTCCCTAGTTGAGACTTACCATAGTCTAGTGGACTAAAATGCCGGAAGATAATGTGATTTTCTTACTATGATACCATGGCGTTATGTCCTGCTTAATCTGGTAGCGACACTACTTGCAGAAAACTAAATGAATGAAACAGAAGATATAGAAAGCAAAATTCAAGAGCTCTTTTTAACACTGGTTGATGCAATTAGTGTTTGAAAAAAACGAATCTCATGTTTATTGAGTTTTCTTTTAGATTGAAGGATGTCATGATCTGGGAAAATTGGAAAATACATGTGCAGGCTAGGTACTTCATTGACGAGGTGAAGGACAAGAATGGGAAAGATATTGATATTAACTCATGGAAGCTAGAGTTTGTTGAGGACCTCCCAGAGCAAGAGAATGGGTACGTAGTACGTGAATATCTTTTTCTTAATTGATAAAGACGTAATACTTCAATCTTGTTGGTCTAACAAGTTCTACTGACATGCTGGAGGCTAGTTAAGTCCTAATTGTACGTGCTTTGCACGTGTGTATCGTGTTGATTAATATTAAATGTATATAAAAAAGAACAAATTGTTGTGTACGTTATATTATTAAAGTGTACTTAAAGAGAAACATGATGTATATATACTAATAAAGATGCACAAACAAAGATATGTATACTAATAGACCTTTGAGATCAAAACCAAAAACCTCTTAACCTTTCTTTGCCTTAACATGAAGTAATACCATTTGTGGCTTGAATCATTGTGTCATGAATCAACAAATCTAGGGAAAAATAAGAAAATAATTAGATCATTAATTGCACATCAATCAATTATATGTAACTGATAAATTAGGTCTTAGGCCTAACTCACACCCCAAAAGCTAGCTCTAAGGGAGGAGGATTGCCCAAGCCTTATAAGGAGTCCACCCATCTCATTAACCACCGATGTGAGACTTTTGTCATTCTTTAACACCCCACCTCACGCCTAGTGCTTAACATCTGGTGTGTGGGCAATTTTTGATTTTGGGGGCCCCAACATCGGGTGAGACGGGCCCTGCTCTGATACCATGTCATTATAATAAGTAGTGACTTCATTCTCACCCTGCTTAGCTTGCCATAGTTTAATTTTTAACTCAAAAATTTGAGAGGCATTTTCTACATTTGAATATGTCTCCCTAATGGCTTCCCACACTTCCTTAGCAGTGGGCAAAAAGAGATAAGATTTACCTATGACTGGTTCCATGGAATTTATTAACCAAGCAATCACGAGTGAATTCTCTGATCTCCAGGAGTTCATCTTTGGGTCTCCAACTCCCGGCTTTTTTGTCTCTCCAGTCAGATGTCCTAGCTTTCCACGGCCATCGATTGCAAGCTTTACGGACTGAGCCCATTCCAGATAGTTCTTCCCATTTAATCGATGAGAAGTTAACTGGAAGGGCATATGAGAAGCATTGCCTCCTTGTGTCATCAGATTTTCTGCAGGAGCTTCCAGAGAAGAACTTTTGTCTTCTGTTGATGTTTCAGAAAGATGCTCTCCGTGAAAGGCTGTTTTACCCATATGATATTAGGGGAAAAAGTCCCGCTTTGATACCATGAAAGTTTAGATACTGCAAAAGTATATTTTATTCATAGTGTTTGTACAGTATTTATAAGAGAACAAGTAAAGACCAATTAAACTAATCAATCCCTAATTCTTAGGAAATCCTTGAATCAAGGGATTTCCTCTAAACTATTTTCCTAGAATAATATATTCTAATCCGATATTCACAGGAGCAAATTCTAATCAAATCTGCCAGCTTTATTTGTGGAGCTGATTATAATCAAATCTGCCAGCTCAATGGTGGAGCAGATTATGACTAAATCTGCCTACTCATTCAACACTCCCCTTCAAGTTGGCATATAAATATCAAACATGCCTAACTTGCTCACAAAGGACTCAAAAGTAGTTCTGAAAAGACCTTTTGTGAAAATATCTGCAACTTATTTTGTTGTTGGCACAAAAGGAATGCACACACTTCCATCTTCAATCTTCTCTTTTAATGAAGTGTCTGTCCACTTCAACATGCTTTGTTCTATCATGTTGAACTGGATTATGAGCAATGCTTATGGCAGCCTTATTGTCACAATACAACTTCATTGGAAAACTCACAGGTCTTCTTAGTTCTTCCAAAAATCTCGAGCCACAATATTTCACAAATTCCGTGTGCCATGGATCGATACTCAGCCTCAGCACTACTTCGGGCCACCACATTTTGCTTCTTACTTCTCCATGTCACCAAATTTCCCCAAACAAATGTACAATATCCAGATGTAGACCTCCTATCAATAGATGAACCAGCATCCGTATAAGCCTCAACACTTCTTTGCTTGTTCTTCTTGAAGAACAACCCTTTCCCAGGTGAACTCTTTAGATACCTTAGGATTCGATACACAGCTTCTTGGTGTTCTTCTCGTGGAGAATGCATGAACTGACTGACTAGGCTCACATCAAAGGAAATATCAGTTCTAGTATGTGACAAGTAAATCAACTTGCCTACCAATCTCTGATATTGGCCCTTATCAATCAATTTTCCTTCCTTTACAAACTTCAAATTTGGATCAATTGGAGTTTCAATTGGTCTACAACCACTCATTCCTGTTTCTTTTAACAGATCAAGAACATACTTCCTTGGTGACACTATAATTCCTTTCTTCGATCGTGCAACCTCCATGCCAAGAAAGTACTTTAGCGGGCCTAAGTCCTTTATCTCAAATTCTGAGGCAAGACGTTCCTTTAGATTTTTTATCTCAACCACATCATCTCCTGTGAGGATAATATCGTCAACATACACTATAAGAATGGTTGTTTTTCCTTCCAGTCAATGTCGAGTAAACATTGTGTGATCTACTTGTCCCTGCACATACCCTTGCTTTTTCACAAATTGAGTAAACCTTTCAAACCAAGCCCTTGGAGATTGTTTTAGACCATAAGGAGATCTTCTAAGCATGCATATCTTTGACTTGTACTTCCTTTCAAAACCTGGTGGGGGATCCATATAGACTTCTTCCTCTAACTGCCCATTCAAGAAAGCATTCTTCACATCCAACTGCTGAAGAGACCAGTCGAGATTTACTGCGATTGTCAACAGAACTCTAATTGAGTTTAGCTTAGCTACTGGAGCAAACGTCTCGAGATATTCAATGCCATATGTCTGCGTGAATCCCTTAGCTACTAGGCGGGCCTTATACCTTTCCAAGGATCCGTCTGATTTGAATTTGGTGGTGAACACCTATTTACAACCCACTGGTTTCTTTCCCTCGGGTAAATACACTAACTCCCATGTCTCATTTTTTTCAAGAGCTCGCAATTCCTCCAAAATAGCCTCCTTCCACTCGGGAACTTGTAGAGCATCCTGCACATTTGTTGGAATCTCCACACTAGAGAGTTGTGAAGTAAAGGCTGAATAACTAGGAGACAACTTTTTGTAGGACACAAACATAGACATAGGATATTTAGAAGAAAATCTAACACCTTTGCGTTTCGCAATAGGTAGATCTAGATCTAAGGAATTAGAACTAGAATTAGTTGAAAGAGTACCTTGAATTACAGTAAGGTCTTGTGGGACTGATTTTTGATAGTGTTGAGAATCTTCGGTCTTTTTTTCTTGAGTTCGGTTCCTTCTCGAATACACCTGCATTTCTGTTTTTTGTTCTCTATTCCCATTTTTATTTTTGTCATTTGAAGGCGCTACAGGTTCAAGTTCAATTTCTGAGTTTTTATCATTTAAGTCATTTTGGTCCTTATCATCTCTTGGATCACACTTATTTATATCTTCTCATACATCTGTCACATCAGCATTTATTGTAATATCAGGCTCTTCATTTTCTTGATATCTAGTTTCCTCAATATCACAAAAAAAGAATCTTCACCTACATGATACTCCCCTTGAAGATGAGTAGTAAAATAGAGTTGCGACTCAAAGAAAGTTAGGTCCATTGTGACAATTATCTTCCTAGCATGTGGATCATAACACTTATATCCCTTTTGGCTTGGGGGCATATCCTACAAAAATACACTTCTTAGCCCGCGGTTCAAGTTTACTACGATTATGGACATGAACAAATGTTGTACAACCAAAAACCCTCAGAGGCAGATCTATAGTTAACCTAGAACTAGGAAAACTTTCTTTGAAAACTTTAAAAGGTGTCTTAAATTCAAGAGGGCGAGATGGCATCCTATTAATAAGGTAAGTGGCAGTCAAGAGAGCCTCTCCCCAAAGGTGTTGTGGAACTTTACTAGTAAACATTAAAGCTCTCGTTACCTCTAAAAGGTGTCTATTCTTTCTTTCGGCGATACCATTTTGTTGAGGTGTATCTGGGCAAGAGCTTTGGTGTACTACCCCAGTTTTTCTAAAAAAACTTCCTAATTGTTCATTAAAAAATTCACGGCCATTGTCACTCCGAAAAATCTTGATTTTCTCATTGAACTGTGTTTCCACCATGACATAGAAAGTCTCAAACACATTTTTAACCTCAGATTTGTCCTTCAATAAAAAAACCCAACTCAATCTAGTATGATCGTCAATAAAAGTTACAAACCACTGTTTCCCAAACATTGTTGAGATTCTAAACGGACCCCAAACATCACTATGAATCATTGTAAAAGGTTTTGAAGCCTAATATCTTTGAGAAGGAAAAGAAGATCGGTGATGCTTAGCCATTTCACAAAATTCACATTGGAATAAGGATGGATTTTTATTTCTAAATAACTGAGGTAACAAATGTCTTAAATAATAAAAACTTGGATGTCCAAGCCTATAGTGCCAAAGCATGACTTTATTCAAAACAAAAGTAGAGTTCAAACAAATAGGAGTCAGTTGTAGTGAGTTGTTCCCGTTGTCAAGAAAATAAAGACCTCCTGATTCTCTAGCACTGCCAATCATCTTCCCCGAGACCTTTTCCTGAAATTCACACAAATCGAAATCAAAAATAGCACGACAATTAAGAGAACGGGTTAATTTATTGACAAAAACTAGATTCAAGAGAGCTTTGGAACATGAAGAGTATCATGAAGTATAAGAGATGGTGATAGCTTAATAGTTCCTTTTCCAGCAATTGCAGAGAAGGAACCATCAACTATCTTGATTTTACTGTTCCCTGCACAAGGAGTGTAAGTAGAGAAAAAACGGGAACTTCCAGTCATTGGTCACTAGCTCTGATACCATGTTAAATTATGTCTTAGGCCTAACTCACACCCCAAAAGCTAGCTCTAAGGGAGGAGGATTGCCCAAACCTTATAAGGAGTCCACCCATCTCATTAACCACCGATGTGGGACTTTTGTCATTCTTTAACACCCCACCTCACGCTCAGTGCTTAGCATCTAGTGCGTGGGCAATTTTGATTTTTTGGGGGCCCCAACATCGGGTGAGACGGGCCC